GGAGAGGGGAGGAGAGACTCACTAAGAAGATTCACCAAATAGTCAAACATGCGAAAATTGTTGGGGAGGAGGAGGTAAGAGAGCTAGAAGGAGAGGATCAAAGAGGGAAGGAGAAGAAGAGATAGAGGAAGACTCACCAAAGAGGCACAAGTGCGAAAATTAAAGGGAGGAGGAGGAGGAGGAGGAGGAGGGAAGAGAGCTAGAAGGAGGGGTCAGAGAGGGAAGGAGAAGAAGAGAGAGACTCACCAAAGAGGCACAAGTGCGAAAATTAAAGGGAGGAGGAAGGAAGAGAGCTAGAAGGAGGGGTCAGAGAGAGAAGGAGAAGAAGAGAGAGAGAGAGACTTACCAAAGAGGCAAAAATGCGAAACTTAGAGGAGGAAGAGGAAGGGGGATAGCTATAAAGAGGGAACTCACCAGACAGGAGGAGGAAGACAATGTCAGAGAGTTGAACACAAAGAAAGAGAAAAAGACTCACCAGAGTTCAAAACACCAGTTCCAGCACCAGCACCACCCACCTCCAACATCAACATCAAAGAAGAAGAGAGGAGAGGCAAACACTTGAAAATTATTAGAGAAAGACAGTGAGTGAGAAAGACTTTGGTTGACCGCATTTTTGCTTATATAAGCAGTGCCAAACAAAGCCGCATGACGCGTTCTTGCTTATGTAAATAAGTTGTGCCTTAACTTTCTTGAACCCACCACTTTCTAGTATTTTGCTTATAACTTATTGGGATCTTAACCAAAAAATGTCATGAGACCATGGATAGGCTCCACTTAATAAGGGCTACAACTATCATTTTGGTCAAAAATTTAAGTCTCTGTACAGTATGTACAAGCTTACTCAAACAAGAGGAATATGTGAGACCCTGTGAGTGCTTGTAAGGCCTGTGAGGCTTGTGGTGAAAATCCTAGTTTGCTGATGCAGACAGGCCAATAGGCTGCGCCCAAATGACATTGGCTTGTGCCCTGCAATATACACATGTGTCATATCCCACAATCTGGACCCACATTCCATCATATTCCCACACCTTCCAAGCCTATGTCTAGACCCCACTTCATTCCCAGATCCCCTTCCGCTGTGTGCTCCTGTCATATCCTGTATGCCAGACATAGATCCCATCATATTCCCACGCTTTCCGGATCTGTTTCCAGACCCCATATCCAACTCATTCCTGGATCCCCTATCCTGTCCACCCTACGCACATTCTGTCCAGCAAGACATCCAGACTTTACCTCCTCTTGGATTCTGGACTACATCCACCACCTCACATATCTCAGTCCTGTTTCCACCCTGCCTTCCAGATCCCCAGATCTCTGGACCTCCGGATATTAACTGTTACTATCTCCGGACCTATTCCCACCCTCCATCCGAGATCCTGTGCCTATCCCCATTTAGGCATCTCTGCCTTTCTGGTTCTTGGTTATCTCTGTTTCCGTCTTGCTGATTGATCCTTGTACTAGTTTCATCTCCGAGTTCATTTAGTTATGTTCCGTCTTACTTACCAATGTGTTTCCACATGCTCGTACATAGCCTTACTCCTTTGCTTACTGATCCTCTCAGAGAGCCTCTAGTATATAACCCCTGTACAACTACAGTAGAGTCCTCAGTCTGAATATCATCTTAGATCCTGTTCCACTTGCCAATCATCTTCTGGACTTCAGTCCATCTGAGTTTGTCCTTTTCCATAAGGCCTAGGGATGGATTCCCTAGGCCAGAATTCCGAACCTTCGGATTTGTCCCCTATGTCTCTATCCCAAGTCTAGGGATTGCTTCCCTAGGCTGGAGTCTTGCTTTTCCAGCACTTACCCTCTTTCTGGACTTAGGTCCACTTCCTGTCCCTCCAACTCTACCTTAGGGTAGTCTACCTCTGTTTGCTTCTGCATCGGACTTTGTCTGATGTAGCCCCTATTCCTTCCGGACCCCTGGACCTCCTGTCCTTTGGACATTCCGCCCTCCCTCCGGACCTCCAGACATCCTATCCTTCCATCCTGTTTTCCTGTAGAAGTATTACCTTGCAGTGGGAACTCTCCTGAGCATTTCCTGCATCCCTCTGGAACTCTCCTGCGCTCCTCCGGACGTTTCCCATGCTCCTCTGGAAGTCCTCTAGCACTCCACCAGAGTAGCCAGCCTCCAGAAGTCCTCCGGACTTCATCAGACCATCATCAGACCTCATATGAAATGAAGGGCACATACTCAGGTAAGGGGCACAGTGTATGAGCTGAGGCCAAGCCCCTCTGAGTCAGTCTCTCTCTCCTTTGAGCAACATGGTTCTTAACATTGATTGTGGATGGACTAGTGCAAATGTCTATGAGTCGGCAAGTGATTTTTACTTAAATACCTTTATTGACCTTGATACATTCTGCATGTCCACTATTGATTAGTTTTGTTGCTACTCAGCTACTATTGACTACAGACTTGAATTTGACTATTGTGCCTCCAAGTGTCCATTGTAGCCTGCTGTAGTCTGCTGTAGCCCACTGTAGATCTATATAGTCTGAGTCACAGCTACATCAGGTACATAGAACTATGGTAGCTATGTAGTGCTACATAGCTCTCACCAGGGCTCCCATGAAATTTGTTTTTTTCCTGATGTACTGAACATAAAAAAGGTGATGAGGCAATGATGCACAATAGGTGAGGTGGCAGACTAGAGGACAAACAAGAGAAAAAGTGAAGTTGACAGAAGGTGCAAGAGAATGCAAGAAGGGTGCAAGATTGTGCAAGAGGGCAGAGTATGGTTTCAGATGATGTGGGAGGATGTAGAGGGCTACTAAAAGTTAGAATATGAGGAGAAATGAGAAAATTTACATGCACAAGGTAGCAGTGGGCACACAATGTATGATATATAAAAAGGGAGAGACAGAAGAAAAAATGTACCATGCAGATGACATGAGATGGAGTTGAGTGCAGGGAATGCAGGCAGGTAAATGTAGGCAGAAGGCAGGGAAATTTTGAACTGACCTTGGTAAGAGAAAGAGGAAAACTTGCTAAAATGATGCAAGAGTGTGCAAGAGGGCACAGTGAGGTGAGTAGGGGTGGCAGAATGCAACAGGTGGCAGGGTGCAGGCAGTCATGGTAGGGTATGGTAGGCAGCACAATATTGGTGGGTGGAGACAGTACTTAAGATGCAAGAATCTCTGAGTAGTATTATCAATATAAAGGGACTTACAAGGGGTGCTGGTAGGTGGGGGAACATCGTTAGCATAGCAGGAGGGATGATCGAAAGAGGTGTGCTACTTATGATGAACTTTGAAAGAGAGCCAGATGGATCTTCAGAACTTCAAGCTTCAAATTCAATGACTTAGCAAAAATTCAGAAATTTGTGTACATACAGTAACATACCTTGCAGGCAGTCAGCTGAGTTCGTGGTCCGGGGTCCCAGTCATGACTCAAGATCATGCACCTCTAGCATCTACCATCTCATACATGTTGCAAGAACAGGCGGGTGAACGACAGGAGAGGGAGCTAGAACACAAAGGTATGCTATGGTTTTGGTCAGCTAATGCTGACATACATGTTTCCAAGTACTCACACCTCAGTTTCAACTAGAACTGAGATGTGCGTGTCTGATGGGTGCTTGGTTTTATAGTAGGTAAGTAAGGAATGCAAAGGAGAAGTTTTCTGACATATTGTTAAGAACCATGTTGCTCAAAGGAGAGAGAGACTGACTCAGAGGGGCTTGGCCTCAGCTCATACACTGTGCCCCTTACCTGAGTATGTGCCCTTCATTTCATATGAGGTCTGATGATGGTCTGATGAAGTCCGGAGGACTTCTGGAGGCTGGCTACTCTGGTGGAGTGCTAGAGGACTTCCAGAGGAGCATGGGAAATGTCCGGAGGAGCGCAGGAGAGTTCCGGAGGAATGTAGGAAGTGCTCAGGAGAGTTCCCACTGCAAGGTAATACTTCTACAGGAAACAGGATGGAAGGATAGGAGGTCCAAAGGTCCAAAGGTCCAGAGGACAGGATGTCCAGAGGTACAAAGGACAGGAGGATGGGATGTCTGAAGGTATGGAGGGCAGGATGTCTGAAGGACAGGAGGATAGGATGTCCGAGGGTTAGGAGGACAGGATGTCTGGAGGTCCAGAAGGAATAGGGGCTACATTGGACTTCATCCAATGTAGAAACAAACAGAGGTAGACTACCCTTAGGTAGAGTTGGAGAGACAGAAAGTGGACCAAAGTCTGGAGAGAGGGTAAGTGCCAGAAAGGCAAGACTCCAGCCTAGGGAAGCAATCCCTAGACTTGGGACAGAGACATAGGGGACAAATCCGAAGGTCCAGAATTCTGGCCTAGGGAATCCATCCCTAGGCCTTATGGAAAAGGACAAACTCAGATGGACTGAAGTCTGGAAGAAGATTGGGCAAATAGAACAGGATCTCAGATGATATTCAAACTAAGGAAACTACAGGAGTATCTACAGGGGTTATATACTGGACAATATCTGGGGGGATCAGTAAGCAAAGGAGCAGGGCTATGTATGAGCATATGGAAACACATTAGTAAGTAAGATGGAACATAACTAAATGAACTTAGAGATGAAGACTCATACAAGGATCAATAAGCAAGATGGAACAGGAGGTAACTGAAAGCCGGAAAGGCAGAGATGTCTAAATGGGGATAGGCGCAGGATATCAGACAGAGGGTGGGAATAGGTCTGGAGATCTGGGGATCCAGAAGACAAGGTGGATACAGGATTGGGATATGAGAAGGTGGATAGAGTCTGGAATCTGAGATGAGGTGAAGTCTGGATGTCTTGCTGGATGGAGTGTACATAGGGTGGATGGGACAGGGGGTTATGGTTCAGGCTAGCAGTGGAGATCCGATGGTCTGGAGCTCAGGGGTAAATCCAGAGCATAGTCGATCCTGCTGAGGTGTGGAGCACACAGCAGAAGGGGATCTGGGAATGAGTTGGATATGAAGTGGGGTCTGGATGTAGGCTTGGAAGGCGTGGGAATATGGTGGAATGTGGGTCCAGATTGTGGGATATGACAGTCAACAGCTTGTCCCATCTTTGGAATAAGATGGCAAGGACAAGCAATTTTGTCGACATGTATCACAGCTGCATTCTGGTGCAGCTGATGAGTCAAACACAACACCTGGTGCAGGCCAGATGAGTGGTCCAGCTCCCTGAGTGGCGTGAACCACTCAATGTAAGCTAAGGCTTGCGAGTAGGTCCCAAATTGACACAGCAGAGTGACATCAGAACATTGCTTGAAGTGGTGCCCACCACCTCCCACTACCTCACCTTCATCAGCAACATCCTTGACTGTCACACACCGACTTTTTAGCACTGGTGGATTATGTTCATCAGTCTCGAAAGAGTTGGACCATGATGAGTGGTGAAGTGGGGAAAATGAGTTGCCAGCATCGTGGTTCTCCATAGAAGGTACATTGTCTTCCAAGTCTTTTTCTTCAATCATTAACTCCCATGCCCTTCTGCATTTAGGCCAGTTAGCTATGTGTCTCTTGATGCCCCCCCTTGTAGGGAACTCCTTGCCACAAAATGCACAGCAGTGCGACATAGTAGGTGAGTGTTTCGCCCTGGTCTTGTGTGACTTGTCTCATTGTATGCCCATTTTTTTTCAATGGCCTGGTCTAGACTTAAACTGGGCGCAGTTACTGGGTGCCATGCCACAACTTGATCTGAGCACCACACCACACCACCCTGATTTTGGAAAGTATGGCAAGTCTTGGCTGGTTTTGTTGATTGGGAGGGGTGTGCTTACCCTGATCTTGCAACCAGATGTGCCCTCACAAAGTGCAAGAGGGACTTATCCCAGTCTTGCCACCAGATGCACCCTCACAAACCTACAGATTATGGCCTCGTTTAGACTTGATCAGATCCATGCGTCAAGTTGCAATCAGGTACAGTTTTTTTTTGAGGATGATCCATGAGGTGTGCTTACCCTGGTCATTCCATCTATAGCAAGATAGGCAGAGATCCTGCTTACCCTGGTCATTCCATCTACAGTAAGATAGGCAGAGACCTGTGTATGTGCTCTTATTCTGATCGGTTTGAATGATACTTACATTTTGCCTAGTTCCCAACACAGTGTGTCATGAGTCATGGTGCATTGGGCACATTGTTTGCAACCTCCATTACAATCTTCCTCATCTAGCAAGAGAACAAGATCGAGAGAGCCAATTCTAGTATGTTAAATTCTTGTCTCTGATACTAGCTAATTTGATGTGCTATGCTAGTTGAGTTTGGAAATACCATGGGCAGCCAGAAGTACCTCTAAAAGCTGCGCCCATTTGGCTTCCTTGCACTGTTTCACCTCCACATCCCAGCACTCAACGATGAGCCTTCGCATGCTCACTTGTAAGATGCTAATAGCTGGGCCTGGTGCTAGTTCTAACAGTTGCAGTTTTTTTGCTTGCTTGCAGGCCTTCACTTCTGCCTCCCAACACTCCAGAATCAGTTTTCATATGTAATTCTGGGAAACTGTGATAGGGCTGGGTGTTTGATGAAATGGAGGGAGCAGGAACATGGGCTCTACGTCAGGCCTTTCAAGCTTGGGTCTGCAAGCTGGTGAGTATTTGAGTATAACATGGAATGGCAACTTACCTTTTGACATCAATTTTTGTGTCTTCACAGCCAGCCTCTTTGTGGCTAGCAATTTGTGACATTGGGCTGCAAGATTTGTCAGCACACAGTGAGTTTTGAAGCAAGCTCCATACTGTTTTTTTTGATGAGTTGGGGGTATTCATAATAGTGAAAATAAATTGTGATGGTATGATCATACCTTCTTATCATCCCTCTCGTTTGACACAGCTTTCAGCCCTTTATTCTACAAATCAACAATCAACAAACTATTAAGGTTCAATTGTGAGTTATTTGTATGTTTTGCAGTGGTATAAATTGTGCTGACCTACAGTGTACTTTGACAAGACAACCATGGCACCTCGTAAGCCTACCTCCAAGCCTAAATCAAAGTGCACCCCCTCACCACCTGCCGCAAAACAGCAGGTGCGCACTGCAAGTGGTCAAGAGCAGTGACCAACTGAAAAAGAGAACTACCGTCATAAGTACCAGCATATTATGTTCCACTCCAAGCTCACCATCTTGTTCTACAGTCAGTGAATCCCAACACATTGTCTGTCACCAAGAAATCAAGGAAAAACAGATGGAAAAACAGAAGAAGAAGGCCTTAAAGGCTGCCTACTAAGGGCATCCTGATGTCTTCGAGAAAGAGCCATCAGAGCTCCTTAGCAACATTGACAGGCAAGAAGACACAATGGTATGAGCTTTTTTTTTGTTTCCTAATCTTAAATCAGCCGCTGACATTTTTTTATTCAGTTCTCTGATCACAGTGTTGATACAAGGTTATCCAACACTAATAGCCTGACATTCAGTACAGGGAAAATCCCTCTGAGGTTGCACAACCCATCCATGCCTACAACTAAAGGACCAAAGGGTATGTTTCTACTTTATATAGCTAGCATGAGAACACTACTAAACCTCCATCAAACAGCGCCACATAATGTTGACAAGTCAACAGACAACAACAATGACAATGACAACAACAACAATGACAATGATGACGACAATGACAACGACAAAAAGTTGCCTGCAGCTCAAGGGACCAAGCGATCATCTGACAACATGTCATATGAGGATCCTGTGGTGCTGAAGGTCAAGAAAAATGCTGACGGTTTGTGTTGACACATGAAAGCCAGCGACTTTGATGAAATCTTGAAAGAGATTCTCATAACTGCTTGCTCTGTTTATCAGTGTCTCATTGTCACACAGGCACCTTTTCCAGATTCCGTTGCAGCTGAGATGAAACTGGCAAAAGAGGCCTGGTGCAAGGCATGTCAACTCAAAGGTGTTGATGTCAAACTGACCCCTTTGGTGGTGAATATGGTGAGCACAGTATTTTTATTGCATTCCTGGTCTTATTCATTCAAAGCTGTTAAAATGTGCTTCACATGTGTGAGGCGAACTCAAGATGAAGATGCATCCGCTCATGGCTTCATTTCACGGCTTCCACTCAAGTAATTCTATGGAGGTGATAAGGTCAAACTGAGATCTCACAGAGAGATTGAAAATTGGCTTGATCTTTGTTTTCAAGGTACTCATTTGACAGTCTACATAACTTAGTGCTGACATTGAGCAATAGGACCCATCATTGAAGTCAGGCATCTACAAGACCAAGTTGCTTCAACAGGGTATCAATGGCATGTGGTTCTTGAACTGAAGTGATGAGGGTGTCATCTACCACAAATACTTCAACCCCATCCCTATCAAAACTATTGCACTCATGCTTATGGCTGTGAGCTGTTTTTCACATTCTTACTTTCAACTTGATGACACTGACAATATCTTATAGATAGAATGTTGTGTTGATGAGTGGTTGCAAGGCATTAAAGAGGACATCAAGTTCACATCTGCTAGTTATGGGGCTGTCTACAACCATCATTTCAGCTCACTGCAATGCTTTGATGAGCACACTGTGCCTTACAAACTCCTCTTGAAAATTTGTACCAATCTGCATGGTGCAGTGTGGTATGTTGGACTCTTATCTCACTGACTCTAAAATTCTAATGCTCACGCTTCTCAGCTTCCACACAGGTGTCACATCACTCATTCCATTGTTGGCTACATCCCAGGCCCACATTGACAATGCAGTGTTTGAAGACGCTATTCAAGAGTACCAGCGTGAGGGGAAGGATGCAGCAGTCAAGGATGAGGTTGAGGAGTATGAGCATCCTAGTAGCAAGGGTGGGGAGCTTATAGATGATGAATAGGGACGCAGTGAGTAAGACATTTGTATTATGCTAGTTTGTGTTTCAGGTGCTTGAATTTAATTGCTATGAGGTTCTTTGGTGTGCTATATAGCTGCTGGTAGTAACTTATAGCTGCATGTAGTAGCACTCCGACAAACTACAGTAGTACCTCATAGCTACTGGTAGTTACTATGGGACTCTATGGTGACTACATAGAGGGCACTTGACAATGGGGCTACTTGCGCCACCCTGACTATATAGTACTATGTAGTCACTTTGTTTTTTCCTGATGTACTTGCCCCTCGTATATCTGTATATCAACTTACATTCACACTCATTGGCTATAGCCTATAGCCTAGTATACTCTAGTAGCTACTGTGGTGCAATTTGATGTGCCCATTATTGTGATCAAATGAGAATGCCACATATAAATTCATTACCCATACAAGAAACCACTGGGAAGCACAAATTGTCACAAGAGTTGTAGCAGCATGTATTGAACATCACCCAAACAGAAGTTAGCTACCGAGATACAAATATAACAAGACTTGCAGGGTATGTATAAAAACAGTCGCATGCACGGACTTGTATCGTAGCTCACAAGTCTGTCACTTGTTTGTAGGCAATGTAGCAATTGTACACCTTGTACTGGCTGTTATGGCCCGTTACATGGTTTGCATAATTTTGTTTCTTTTGTCAATGACATCCAGGGTCTAGTTTTGTGCCTGGGTGACCTATCTGGACATCAACACTCAGTGAGGATTAAATTGGGGAGCCAGGTTGCCATCTGGACATGATGTTCTTGTGTATGTACAATATGGATTTGCAATAGCAGTTAGATATTTCCTTTTTAATTTGTTACTTCAGAATTTTGAGATGGAGAACCAAGAAAACAAGCCCCCTGCAGGCCTGGGTACACAACCGAGTACTGGGCCTACTGGTGGGTAACATGCTTGTACTTTGGTACTCAATTCATCTTGTTTATACTGTAGGGCACCAGAAGTTTTGAGTTCAGCTAAGACAGGATCAGGTACTACATCAGGAAAACATCCAAGTGCTTTTTTTGCCTTATTTTACTGAGTAAACTACATAAGGTGGCAAAGGAGAATAAGGAACATAAGAAAACTTAAGGCTCAGAAATAATGAACTTAAGAAGACTCAAGCAAAATTTATTTCTAAGCAAAAGTGTATATGTTAGCAGCATCACTGAGACATGTAAAAATGGGGGTGAAAGTGACAGCAGGACCAGATCAGTGGAGGGGGGTGCGGCAGAGAGTCTAAGCAATAAAATGTGGGACTTGGAGCATTACTTGTAAGTAAGAAGATGGAGGGGGGGGGGGGTGCAGCAAAGAATATATGTAATAAAATGTGGGGGCTTTACTTGCAAGCCGAAAACAAAGGGAGGTGTGGGAAAGAATATATGCAATAAAATGTGGGGGCTTTACTTGGGTGCCAAAATGAAGGGAGGTGTGGTGAAGCATGTATTGAGTAGATTGGGAGTGAAAAGGCAGTAATACCTTGGGCCAGGTAATGATGCTGCAGGATGTAGATAGTGAAAAATAAGACTATGACAGCAATGACAGAAGATAATGACAGACCTGCATGTTACCCAACCTCAAATGCATGGTGGTCAGCATATTTATTGATATAGAAGGTGCAAAACATGTTGTGGGAGTTATGAAGGGTGATTTTGCGAGATATGAAGTTGTTGCCATAGACAGGGATGAGGTGAGCCATGTGGAATATACAATCAATGTGTATGATTGAGACATCAGGTGTGCCATTATCATTGGTTGAGGGTACAACAATATACATCCCTGTGTCAGGATCACGGCTGTCAGTGATGTATGAGAACCACTGAATGACTGCACACTGAAAATATTTTGCTCAGTACTGGAGGCCAAAAAAGCACAAAACTCTTGCAATGGTAAGCCCATCCAAGCCACAACTGACCTCATCATTCATACTAATGAAAACACAATCATTCCGGGCAGGACCTCCTCGCCATGAGGTTGTTGCCCGAATGTGCTCATGTCGCATGCCTCCAGTGCCACTGAGGTCACTGGGGGCATAGAATGAGGCAGCTGCTGAACTATATATCACAATGTGGCCCATGAAAGCTGGGGCTGTGGCTGGGTCAAACACGGCATGCTCATGGTCAGTAAGGTGAAGTTGGTCGTACAGAAACTGTTGGATCATGATGGGAAACTCAGGGAACCTGAGAGCAAGCATGAGAGTATGGACATCACATGCACTACCTAATACTATGAACATTTTGCAAAATCAGATGCATTCAATGTAGTAATAGAAAACTTACTTGGTTTTGCAGCAAGCTCCACATGAGCTTCAACAGTTGGTCTATCAATGATGTCAACTGCTTCACCCTCGGTGGTCCAGTGTTGCAGTTCATTGACTCGTATTTGGATTGGAGGCTCTTGAAGCATGACAAGCACATCATCATTGTCACTGAGAGACTGTGGATGACCTGTAAAATACTATATTAATAGACTTAGATAGAAGTAATAAAAACATATGGTTTTTCAGCCTTTGCAAAGTGTCAGATACACATGATCCATGGAGCATACCACAAGCCTCAAAGTCACTGCATGCAGCAGCAATTTTGTTGAGATGCTGGTTTGTCAGTAGCATTTGACCTAGGGATTCATACCTACTAGAGCAGCACCAGGGCTCTTTGACAGCCTTGATGTGCTTTGACTCCATTATCAATGAGCAAAGGCCGTTAGGTGCTCTGAAGAGCTATATCATTTGAGCATAGTGCTGCAAAGAGTGTTGGTGGGGAAGCGAAAAGGTGAGTTGGACTCCTGTGGTCTTGAACACTTTGCAATACTGGTGGAAATGATCAAGCACATCTTGAAGTTGCACAAGATCATCTTCCATAAGTGCCTCATGCCGGACAATATAGCAAAAGTCCAGGAAGGTGCTGAATGCACAAATGATGTCTCGGGGAACATGGCCTCTAATGGCAGGCAGATAGACCTAGTACTTGTAGCATTATTTTGTAAATTATCTCAAAAGACAGTAACATACCTTCATAAGAGCTTTTGAATCATCACCAGTCCACTGGGAAAATCCTCACCCTTCAGGAAAGCACTGCAGACCTGTGAAAGGAGCGACTGCAGCTATCCTGTTGAAAGATTAGATATAATGTAGAGATAATAATTGAAAAACTTCACTCACCTTCAATCAATATCATCCTGAATCTCCGCTGCGCATGCTTTACCATGTGTATGCTCTAGGTATTCTCCCACCCAGTCAACGAGGTGATCCTTGAAGGTACCTTTGATGATTTGGTGTAGGAGGTCTGGCAAAAGAAGCTCATGTATATCTGTGCAAGCAAAATCATTTGTAAACAGCTTGAACACAAGTTAGAATCAATAACTATGAATAAATAAATAAAACATACCACAACATCTCCAACAATACTGTACTTGTACCACAACTGTTTGTGCTGGAGCTCTTGAATGAGCAAGTTGATGTGCTCTCAGCACTGGAGTAATCCATCGCCGCCAAGAGCATTTCAATTATTCAAACACCTTAAACAACATTAGTTAGAAGTCAATAACAAGACATTGAAAAGTATGTACTTCAGACACCAACTTGTTACAATCCCAGAGAGTAACACTTGCTCTGGATAATCAGTTATATTGTTAAGAACCATGTTGCTCAAGGGGGAGAGAGACTGACTCAGAGGGGCTTGGCCTCAGCTCGTACACTGTGCCCCTTACCTGAGTATGTGCCCTTCATTTCGTATGAGGTCCAATGATGGTCTGACAAAGTCTGGAGGACTTCCAGAGGCTGGCTACTCTGCTGGAGAGCGCTAGGGGATTTCCAGAGGAGCGCAGGAAACGTCCAGAGGAACACAGGAAGTGCTCAGGAGAGTTCCCACTGCAAGGTAATACTTCTACAGGAAACAGGACAGGAGGACAGGAGGACAGGATGTCCAGAGGTACGGAGGGTGGAACATCTGAAGGACAGGATGTCCAGAGGTACGGAAGGCAGAACGTCTGAAGGACAGGATGTCCAGAGGTACGGAGGGCGGAACGTCTGAAGGACAGGATGCCCAGAGGTACGAGGGACAGGAGGTCCGGAGGTCCAGAAGGAATAGGGGCTACATTGGATGAAGTCCAATGTAGAAACAAACAGAGGTAGACTACCCTAAGGTAGAGTTGGAGAGACAGGGATTGGACCTAAGTCCGGAAAGAGGGTAAGTGCCGGAAAGGCGGAGCTCTGGCCTAGGGAATCAATCCCCAGGCCTGATGGGTAGGACAGACTTGGGTGGACCAAAGTCCAAGAGAAGATTGGGCAAGTCTAAGTTGATATTCAAACTGAGGAACTACAGGAGTATCTACAGGGGTTATATACTGAACAATATCTGAGGGGATCAGTAAGCAAAGGAGCAAGGCTATGTACAAGCATGTGGAAACACATTAGTAAGTAAGTCAGAACATAAGTAAATGAACTTGGAGATGAGGACTCGTACAAGGATCAATAAGCAAGACGGAACAAGAGGTAACCGAAAGCCGGAAGGCAGAGAATGCCTAAATGGGGATAGGCGCAGGATATTGGACAGAGGGTGGGAATAGGTCCGGAGTTAATATCCAGAGGTCTGGAGATCTGGGGGTCTGGAAGACAAGGTGGATACAGGACTGGAATATGAGAAGGTGGATATAGTCTGGAATCTGAGATGAGGTGAAGTCCGGATGTCTTGCTGGATAGAGTGCGCATAGGGTGGACAGGATAGGGTGGTACAGATCAGGCTAGCAGTGAGGATCCAGAGGTCCAGAGCTCAGGGGTAAATCTGGAGTGGAGTCGATCCTGCTGAGGTGTGGAGCACACAGCAGAAGGGGATCTGGGAATGAGTTGGATATGAAGTGGGGTCCGGACATAGGCTCGGAAGGCGTGGGAATATGATGGAATGTGGGTCCAGATTGTGGGATATGACATATATACAGTCCTAGCCCATATATCACTTGTTGATAATGGCCATCAGGGCAGTGAACAACGTCAGGAGTTGTCATGTTTTTCTTTAAGGACTTGAATATATTGGCAAGAGAGGAGTGAAATGATTGCTGGTGGAAGTTTCAAAAGTCAATGTCATCAGCATATTCTTTGGTGGCTGTGACAAATGAGTGGTTGAAGCAACATGAAATATATTGAGTCACTCACTTGTTGGTATTGTGAGAAACCCTACCAATACAAGGCTGTTGCAGTGTGCACATTGAACACTGTTGAAGACATTTCCAATTGAGAGATATAGTGGATGGTATTTGGTGTGCCCTGTAGCTACCAATACTGTAGTCTTGTCACTCCCAACAATCAGAGGCATGAAGGTTGATCTGTGCATCTCTGGATCCTTGGCAATCTTATCCTGTAATGTGACATGTCATTAGCTCAAAGAAAAGGAAAGACATAAACTTACTGCTTGTGTCCAAGCCCAGTCACTGGAGAAATTTTTTTTGAAGCAACATTGATTATTGTCATCATAGTCCCAGTACAGAGTCTATTCAATCTCGCCATCAAAGTCAGGATTGGCAAGTATGTTGTGAATAAGAAGACAAGGATCACAGAACCATACTTCATATGTTGCCTTCATCCATGGCAGAACATCTTCTGCTGGCTTGACTCCTTTATATGACATTGAAAAACTCTCCCAAGCAACATCACCAAGCAGCGTCGAATCAATGGTGTCATACAGGTCACGGTGCGAGGCAAATGGAGGGGAATTGTCATATTGGATGAGCATTGCCACCCAGAGATCAAGGAGGGTATCAATCTGCCCTGTGGACATTTGATTGCATGTGAAGAGGAATTTGGCCATTTCAAATGCAACTCAACTCTCATATGGCATCCAGTCGGTAGGTAATGCATTGGTTTGAAGTGGTGGGGGCAAGTTCTGGTCAATGAAATCACCATTGATGTTGCACTTGAGTCCTGCTAGTATGTCAGATTTGAATGAGCATGTAGTACAAAATTTCACCTGTGAGATGAGGATGAAATATTCAAAATATAGGACCCAACTGCACACAAGTGTCTGCATCCAGCATAAAACCGTCTCCTGGGCCATTCTCATCTAGACAAAGTGCATCATCTTCATTGTGACGCTCAGGACTTGGAGAATGTGGTGGTGCAGGAGCTGCTTGATGAAACTTCCTATGATTGCGCAAAGGCCTGGGATGCAGCATGCGCATGTGTTTCATTTGGCCTGACTTATTTTTGAAAATACACTTGCAGCCAGGCATGAGACAAGGAAGCAGACCCATATTTCATTGAGTTCTGCAATGAGTTGATGACTTGAACAGTGTGACTGGACTGTGTGAACTTACTTGTTTTGGGTCAGATTGAATTGAAGGTGAAGAGACTAACCCTCGCCCAAACCATGTTTTTTCTGACCCTTAGTCTGTCATTTTCCTTCCTGTCACTCATTTCTATTGTTCATTTGTTTCCCAATGTCTCATCCACAAACACATCCCAGTAATGTGAACAAGCATCCCCGACAGATTGTCCAGGATGCAAACAAGGCACAGCAACAAACCAAAGAGCAAGTTGCTGCTGAAAAATTGCAAAACAAGTTCAGAAGGATGTTCATGCTGAAGCTGAAAAAAAAACACGCACAGTGATTGCAGTTGTTGAAGATGCTATGGCCATCCAGCAGAATGCTCAGATGATGGGTCCACCAAAGCTTGTTCAGCCACGTCCAAAGGCTTGCACAGTTGCCAGCAGTAAGAGTAAAACTAATCAAAAAAATTCAGTAGTTACAAGTGAGTAGTCTAGTGCTTGAATGACTCACCTACTAGGCTGATTGTTTCATGCTTGTAAAGCAGCTCAATCACTGGCAGAGCCAGCTACTGAAGATGGTCAGAATGACCAACCTGTAAGGAGGAAACATCAAGGATTGAAGATGAACTTTCGTGCTGGGGTCGCTGCTAATTACAAGGTGTCTAACAGTGGAGTCATGATTGCTACAAGTCACAGTGACACATGTGTTGGAAGCACAGTTGATGATGGGAAAATCAGATTTCCATAAGTTTCTTTTGTCCATGATGTTGATTCTAATGGAACTCACCTTGTATTATTTTGATTTCATTTGTGCATGCAACAAAAGCACGAATCAGAAGCTGGCAGGTGTCCAAGATCTTGAAGGCCTTATTCCAGATTGGGCTGAAAAAGTTGCATCTGAGGCCCAGCTAAAGCCATCTGTGCCACTTAGCACGTGCACTTCCAAGACACCCCAAATAGTGGAGTTTGATGCTGACCTTGATGATGATGAGTACTATGAGCTGCTGGCAACCCAGGGTGGAAAGGTTAGAGTTCACTTGAGTTTGGAATGTGTACTTACTTAAGTCAGGACTTGGTGCATTTGGTGGAGAAACCAAGAAACACCTCAAAAGGCCTCAAGTGTCCACTTCCTGTCCTGAAAGAACCTGAGTATGCTGAGCAGGATGAATTTGAGCTTCTCAATGACTCAGAGGCTGCTGGAGATGCAGAGGAGCAGTATGATGGCGATATGGAAATGGTGGATGATGATGGATGCGCAGATCAGAAAAGCTTGAAGGCTGAGGCTATTGTGACATGATGTACAAGTCTGGTAAGAATTTATTTGATAAATCATGATAGAAATGCACCTGATACTCTGATAGATGTCAGTTGATATCTCAGACTCGAAGATCGCCAGCAAGCTGGTCAAGACTGAGGATACCATCTCCCACAATCCACGCACCAAGATCAAAAAAGGTCAAGCCAAGAATGCAGACCTACTGTTAAGAACCATGCTCAAAGGAGAGAGAGACTGACTCAGAGGGGCTTGGCCTCAGCTCATATGCTGTGCCCCTTACCCAAGTATGTGCCCTTCATTTCAGAGGAAGTCCAATGATGGTCTGACAAAGTCCAGAGGACTTCCGGAGGCTGGCTACTCTGGTGGAGAGTGCAGGAGGACTTCCGGAGGAGCGCGGGAAACGTCCGGAGGAGCATGGGAGAGTTCCGGAGGAATGCAGGAAGTGCTCAGGAGAGTTCCCACTGCAAGGTAATACTTCTACAGGAAAACAGGATGGAAGGATAGGAGGTCTGGAGGACAGGAGGTCTGGAGGACAGGATGTCTGAAGGTATGGAGGGTGGAACGTCTGAAGGACAGGATGCCCAGAGGTATGAGGGACAGGACGTCTGGAGGTCCAGAAGGAATAGGGGCTACATCAGACAAAGTCCAATGTAGAAGTAAATGGAGGTAGACTACCCTAAGGTAGAGTTGGAGGGACAGGAAGTGGACCTAAGCCCCCAAAGAGGGTAAGTGCCAGAAAGGCAAGACTCCAGTCTAGGGAAGCAATCCCTAGACTTGGGATAGAGACATAGGGGACAAATCCGAAGGTCTGGAATTCCGGCCTAGGGAATCCATCCCTAGGCCTTATGGAAAAGGACAAACTCAGATGGACTGAAGTCTGGAAGAAGATTGGACAAGTAGAACAGGATCTAAGATGATATTCAGACTGAGGACTCTACTGTAGTTGTACAGGGGTTATATACTAGAGGCTATCTGAGAGGATCAGTAAGCAAAGGAGTAAGGCTGTGTACGAGCATGCAGAAACACATTGGTAAGTAAGACAGAACATAAGTAAATGAACTTGGAGATGAAACTAGTACAAGGATCAATCAGCAAGATGGAAACAGAGATAACCAAGAACCGGAAAGGCGGAGATGCCTAAATGGGGATAGGCACAGGATCTCGGATGGAGGGTGGGAATAGGTCCAGAGATAGTACAGTTAATATCCGGAGGTCTGGAGATCTGGGGATCTGGAAGGCAGGGCAGAAACAGGACTGAGATATGTGAGGTGGTGGATGTAGTCTGGAATCTGAAAGAAGGTAAAGTCCAGATGTCTTGCTGGACAGAATGTGTGTAGGGTGGACAGGATAGGGGATCCAGGAATGAGTCGGATATGGGGTCTGGAAACAGGTCTGGAAAGCGTGGGAATATGATGGGATCTATGTCTGGCATATGGGATATGACACCTACCCAGCAGAGCCCTTGAACAAGGTCAATGGTGCACAAGTTTCCTTCCCTTGTTGATGTACTGGGTGGGTAATAGTGACTATGGATGGTCCATCCCAGAGAATGAGCTCGAGAGTGCCCTTGAATATATATTCAATGCCATGTACAGTAGCCACTGAGGACCCAGCAATTTCTGTCCTGATGGCTTAGGGTTTCATTTGGTTTGCATTGTTTTACCTTTCACTCAACTTACAGCTGCTCATTCAGACATCCCAGGTATGCCAAAGGATTCATGAGTGGTGCGCTGCATTTGGTTCAACTGCTGTCAGCATTTTGATGGCCTATTTTGCTTCAACACCCAAGTACAAGACCCAGGAAGCTCATGAAGAGTATGCTGAAGATCAACTCCAGGACTGCCATTTTGTGTATGAAGATCCTGACAATGAAGAGCAACCTGGCGCATTTTTATCAGAGTATATCTTACACATTCTCACCTCCCATCTCAGCACAATATCTGGGAGAGTGAGGGTTGATGAGCTGGTTGAATTCGGGAAGCCTGGGTATCTGACTGCACCTGCGCTTGCTGCCACAGCAGTAAGTTGCGCCAGCAGAACATTAACTAGTGTATTTACAGGCTGAACACACTCTCCATCAGCAAACTAGGATTTTCACCACAGGCTTCACAGGCCTTACAAGCACTCACAGGGTTTCACAAGCATCACAAGGTTTCACATATTCCTCTTGTTTGAGTAAGCTTGTACATACTGTACAGAGACTTAAATTTTGACCAAAATGATAGTTGTAGCCCTTATTAAGTGGAGCCTATCCATGGTCTCATGACATTTTTTGGTTAAGATCCCAATAAGTTATAAGCAAAATACTAGAAAGTGGTGGGTTCAAGAAAGTTAAGGCACAACTTATTTACATAAGCAAGAACGCGTCATGCGGCTTTGTTTGGCACTGCTTATATAAGCAAAAATGCGGTCAACCAAAGTCTTTCTCACTCACTGTCTTTCTCTAATAATTTTCAAGTGTTTGCCTCTCCTCTCTTCTTCTTTGATGTTGATGTTGGAGGTGGGTGGTGCTGGTGCTGGAACTGGTGTTTTGAACTCTGGTGAGTCTTTTTCTCTTTCTTTGTGTTCAACTCTCTGACATTGTCTTCCTCCTCCTGTCTGGTGAGTTCCCTCTTTATAGCTATCCCCCTTCCTCTTCCTCCTCTAAGTTTCGCATTTTTGCCTCTTTGGTAAGTCTCTCTCTCTCTCTTCTTCTCCTTCTCTCTCTGACCCCTCCTTCTAGCTCTCTTCCTTCCTCCTCCCTTTAATTTTCGCACTTGTGCCTCTTTGGTGAGTCTCTCTCTTCTTCTCCTTCCCTCTCTGACCCCTCCTTCTAGCTCTCTTCCCTCCTCCTCCTCCTCCTCCTCCTCCCTTTAATTTTCGCACTTGTGCCTCTTTGGTGAGTCTTCCTCTATCTCTTCTTCTCCTTCCCTCTTTGATCCTCTCCTTCTAGCTCTCTTACCTCCTCCTCCCCAACAATTTTCGCATGTTTGACTATTTGGTGAATCTTCTTAGTGAGTCTCTCCTCCCCTCTCCTTTTCTCCTTTGATTCTTCTTTTGACCTTAGATTTTCGCATTTTTGTCCAGTTTAGTAAGTTTAATCTTTAGTTAGTAGTGTATATGTCTATGTAGTAGTTACTTTGAATTTGACTTCAATTTTTACATTTTCGCATTTTGGGTGTTTTGAGTATCATAATTGAACAAATATGGCTGCTCTGAAATGTACAGATTGTACAAGCCTGTACAGACTGTACAGACTGTACTACCTTGTGACACTCTTGTACAGGACTGTAAAGAGGGGACTTCCTTGTGTCCCTGTGAAGCTTGTACAGGTACCCCCTGGTTTGCTGATGTGGCTCATGCGCTCGGACCTCTCTCTCCTGCTTGTACCTATCATGTTGGATCCTTTGGCTTCCTCAGTCTCTCTCTCTTCAGATCATTTGGACTTCAACACTCCCCCTCAAGCGCATGCCAGACCCATGTGGGTGTGTAGCTTTTGTAGCTGGGGGCAGGGCAATGCCTTGGTGAACGCATCAGCAACATTATCGTCCATGGGGCAGTAGAGGAGCTTGAAGGTGCTGTTTTTGACATGTGAGTGGATGAAGTGGTACCTCAAGTCAATATGCTTTGTACGTGATTGAAACTTGCTGGTGGACACTAATGCTATAGTGGCTTGGTTATCGCAGAATATGGGAGTGGGGAGGCTTGGTGGTTCATAGAGTTTGCCAAGGAGTAATTGAAGGTACAGTATTTCCTTTGCTACACTGGTCAGAGCAATGTACTCAGCTTCTGCCATCAACAGAGTGATTATGGGCTGCTTTCTTGCACTCCAGGACACTGGGCCTCCATTGAGGAGTACTATGTACCCACTCATGGAGTGCCTGTGTGGCTGTAAAGCCCAATCTGCATTGACAAACACTTCGATCCTGACATCCATAGATCCCAAGGTGAGCTCAAAGTTGTCAGTGGCTTTTAGGTAGCGAAGAGCTCACTTACTAGCCTCCCAGTGTGCCCTTCCAGGATTTCACATGAACTGTGATAATGTCACTACCACAAAGGCGATATCAGGACATGTGCTCATCGCTGCATACATCAATGAGCCAATGGCTCATTGATATGGTACATCTCACATGGCAGCTAGCTCTGCATGCATTCCAGGGGACTGATCTATGGACAGGGAGGTGTCTGGTTCCATGGGGGTCTGGATGGTCTTAGCATCCCCCAGATGAAAATGTTTGACAATTGTGTCAACATAGGCCTTTTGAGAAAGAGTAATGGTGCATCCCACTCTATCTCTTGTTACCTTTAGCCCTGATAACCATGATAGCTCACCCAGGTCAGATATCTCAAAGAATTCGCTAAGTTTCGACTTGAATTGGAGAATGTGGGACTTGTGATTGGTGGTGACAGCCATGTCATCAACTGACATGGTGATGACAATGTGCTCTTTAGGGGTACATTTGAAATATACTGCTTGATTGACCTGGGAGTGGCTAAAACCCATCTTCAGAAACACTCCAGCTAGTTCCTCTGCCCACTCAAAACCTGCCTGCTTCAAGCCAGGCAAGCTGTGCTTTAGCTTCAGTACCTTTCTCTCCTGACCATCCTTCAGATATCCTGGAGGTGCCCTCATATATATGTCTTCCTTGACATCTGCATAGAGGTAAGCGCTCTTCACATCCACCTGATGAATCTCCCAGTCTTTCTGGGCCGCCATGCTCAATATGGTACATATTGTGCTCATATCTGCCATTGGGGCAAATGTGTTGAAGTAGTTGACACCATATTGCTGACATTGTCCATTCATGACAAGTCGGGCTCTCAGCTTGAGCTTTTCGCCATCAGGGCCTCACTTAGTTGCTAACATGAAGTGGCAGGGTATGATATTTGATCTGTGAGGTAAGTCCATGATGTCCCATGTTCCCAACTTCTCCAGCTGACTGATCTTGTAGTCTAGCGCTTCTTGCCATTCTGAACTGTCTGGACCGTTCAGAGCCTGCTGCAAGGTGGGCTCTGGCTCAGCCATTGCTAAGGCTAAGTGAATGTGAGCTTCCTCATCTAGAAGATCCAAATCTGACACGTCTTTCAGGGATTTGATGGCTACAGCTACCATTTGGCCTTTTTGGAGCTGGCCATAGTACCCTGGAGCTGGTCTGGCTCGGCTTTCCCTGGGTTCTGGGGCATTTGGAGTAGCATTTGGAGTAGGAGTGGGATCCAGGGTAAGTGGGATGGGCTGGATGCTAGGTGTGTTGCTATCAGTACTCATCTCCTCCTCAATAGGTCTTGACTCCCCCTCGTTCAGCACATCCTGGTCAATAAGCACATTGGGCAGTGCAAACATTACATTTCACTCAACCGAGACTTGCCTTTTCACTGGCCAATATATGTGGTATGCCTTGCTATCTGTGTCAATCCCAACAAAAATGGCCTCCTCAGTGTGGGCTTCGAGCTTTCTGGCATTCAGCTGGTGGACATACAGCTTTGATCTGAACTCCCGAGCCATGGACAGGTTGGGTCTTGCCCTATGGACAAGTTGGTGAGGAGTAGCACCAGGTATGGCACTTGAGGGTAAGTGGTTCTTTAACCAGGTAGCATAATTCACAGCTTCCACCACAGGAACTTTGGGAGTTCTTGCCCTATGAGCATCTCTCTAGTGAGCTCAACCAGGGTCCTATTTAGGCACTCAGGCACTCCATTTTGCTGGGGTGAATTGTGGATGGTGAGTTGTCTCTTGATCCCCTGGTCCAATAGATACTTATCAAACTCTGTGCTCAGATACTCCCTTCCATGGTCTGATCAAACTTTTTGTAGATGGGTCCCAGGGTTTTGACAAGTAAGGTGTGCCTCATACCTCTTGAATGCCTCCAATGCCTCACTCTTAGCTTTCAGGAACTCAACCTTTGTTTCACAGGTGTCATCATCTGTGAAACTAATGTAATAGGTTGTCCCGCCAAGGCTGGTAGTCTGCACTGGGCCCCACAAGTCTGTATGGACAAGTTCCCCATAGGTGAGTGCACATGTTTTTGACTCTTGTGGAAATGGCTGATGAGTCACTTTGGCTTTTGCGCATGCCTCGCAGAATTTGGTAGGGGAGGTGAGGTTGATGTCCAAACCTTCGACAAGCTGATCCTTTGCAACTTGCAGGATGGCTTTCTGGGAGATATGGCCTAGGGCATGATGTACCTCTGCCAAGGTAAGTTTCACCCTTGTGACATGAGCGTGATGGGTTCTCTGACTGGCCACACTATACAGACCCTCAAGCTGCAGGATTTCAGTGATGACTTCGCATTTGGGCCCCTTTGACAAGATTTGGCACATCTTGCCTTCAAACAGGACTGCTAATCTGGTGGAAGTGATTCTGTTGGTTGAGATTAGGGTAAATGCCATAGAAGGGGCATATAATGCATCCTTCAGGGTGACAGTTGTTCTCTTTGTCCCCAAGGGTAAGTCTATTTTGATGTCTCCTCTGCCAGTAGTGCTGAGAACTGACCCATTCACAGTGAATACATCTTGTTGGGTGATAGGGATGAAGTTCGAGAACTTCAACCTGTCAGGACAGAAGTGGGAGGTTGCACCAGAGTCTACCATGGCTCCATGGCATTCAGGGGCTATGTTCATCCTCTGGGCAATGTTGGCAAGGTCATCTGTCATGAAAGTTCTCCTGGCCCTCTGACTCTTTTGCAGCATTTGTGCTCTGCTTTTGGGTACATCCTCCCCTCTTCCCTCTCTGGTTTGGTCCCTGACCCTCTTTTCCTCCCCCTGGCCTCCAGCAATTGCTTTTGTAGTGGCCTTTTTGGTCGCAGTTATAACAAACTGTGTCCAGGTTGGACTGGGGTGAGGAGGTGGACGAGGACTTTCCTTTTCCTGGAGGTCCTCTCACTGATAGGGCCAAATTGGGTCCCTTTTTGGTAGGTCACTGACTGGTGAGTTGCTGATGCTCATATTCTTCTGAGATGATATTGATTAGTTCATAGGAGCTTATGGATGCACTGGTTATCTTCATAGCCACACTAATGGACGAGAGTAGGGGACGATAGGATTCCAGGAGAGATGCCAGTATCATGGCATAGAAGTCTTTCTCCTTGATGGCAGCACCCATGCCTGCCAGTGACTCACAGAGCTGAAGCATCTTGCTAAAGTGAGTCTTTATATCTCTGTTCTCCTCACATCTGGTCTCCTGAAGCCTTCGCCTCAGA